ACCCCCCCCCCACCCCCACCCGGCCGCCCCCCTGCCTGCGGGTCATCGGGTACCTGCGGCGCATGGACGTCTTCACGGAGGCCGAGCTGCGCATCAAGTTCCTGCAGGCGCGGGACGCCTGGCTGCGCTCCATCCAGGCCTCCATCCCTGACGACGATCCCTACTTCCACATCTCCAAGACCATCGAGGCCTGTCGCGTTCACCTCTTTGACATCGTCACCCAGTATCGTGCCATCTTCTCGGACGAGGAGCCGCTGCTGCCCCCCGAGGGGCAGCCCCTCAACGAGGCGGCCATTTTCCACAGCTGGGTGTTGCAGAAGGTCTCCGAGTTCCTGCAGACGTTGGAACGGGATCTGCAGCGCGGGGTGGGCGGCCGCCTGGACTCGCTGCTGGGGCAGTGTATGTACTTTGGTCTCTCCTTCAGCAGGGTGGGGGCTGATTTCCGTGGACAACTGGCCCCCCTCTTCCAGCGTGTGGCTGCTGCTGCCTTTGAGAAGGCAGTGGAGGAAACTGTGGAGAAATTTCGGGAGGAGATGAATTCCTACACGCTTATCTCCACTCCGGCTGTCCTGGGGGGCAGTGCAGGGGTCCCGATGCCCTCGGCTCAGCCGGGAACGCTGCAGCCTCCCATGGTCCTGCTGGATTTTCCACCTCTTGCCTGTTTCCTCAATGGTCTCCTCGTTGCCTTCAATGACCTTCGGCTCTGCTGCCCCATTGCCTTGGCCCAGGATGTCACCACCTGCCTGGAGGATGCGCTGGGCAAGGTGAGCTGCCTGGAACTGCTCCTGCTCCCAATTCTTGGCTCACTTTTCATGGACTTAACAACTTTCCTCATTCCAGGTGACCAAGACCATCCTGGCTTTTCACCGGGCGGAGGAGGCGGCTTTCAGCGCACAGGAGCAGGAGCTCTTTGCCCAGTTCTGCACAGTTTTCCTGGAAGATCTGCTTCCCTACATCAACCGCTGCCTCCAGGTCCTCTTTCCTCCAGCACAGATCGCTCAGGCACTGGGTAAGCCCCCTGGGGGTTTGTTTCTCGTGGGGAGGGTGCCATCTGTGGCTTCCTCCCCACAAGCCCTACAAGCTCCTATCCCACTGTGGCCCCCCTTCACCCCCCTCTCCCTGTCTGGCAGGCATCCCCCCCACCCAACTGCAGCGTTTCGGCTGGCTGGGCCGCATCGACGTGGTTGCCCTGAGGGAGCCGTTGGCTTTCC